GTTTAAATCCCTACTTAAGTTGATGTAATTTTGCCTCTAGAGAAAAACACAAGTGGTCAACTCTGTATTTGATTTTTAATAATTATGCCACCTACCATTCTACTGTTTCATCTAATGCAGGTGGTATGGGATCTGATGGTAAAAACAATGTTAACCTTATGTATATGTCCCAGAATGATGAGTTAGCTGAAAAGGTTTTAAAAAAAATTCAAAATACATTGTTAACATTCATGAACACAGGCAAAAAGAACTAGGACAGGCTCTTCTCACTCTCTAAGTGATGTAGGAAGTTCCACATGCCTCCAGGGATTTTCAGAATTTCCTTTGTTCTGACATTGGGACCTACTTATCCCAGCTGACCCACTTGACTGGTCCACCTTATGAAGTTGATTGTACAAGGCTTCTCTGAGGGAAAGGGTTGTTCTATCAGTTCTATCTAGGTTACACTGTAATAATCTTCTGTTTTCTACTACTGCTAAAGAAAGTAAGAGATACCTTTTTGCCCTTTCTGCCAGTTTTTTTCTTCATCTGCACAAGTAACTATGGTTTACAGATGCCCCTCCAATAAATGAAGCAAGAGAGGAGAAGCTCCAAGTGCTGGTGGCAGAAGTCTTGTGAAGAGTCTCACCAACTCAGATGCACAGGTGTAAGGTCATAAGCCATGGCTGTGCAGGAAGCAGAAAAAGCATTCTTCACAGCATCTGCAAAATCCCATATAGTGGAACCAGTTTCAGTGTATGCAGGCTTGATTAATTTTGGCTGCTTCCATTCAGTTACAGTTGAGTTTTTCTCTTTGAATTTTTGTTCATGTTACTCTGCAGACAAAATTGCCCAAATTCAGACTGAGCTGTCTACTGCCATGGAAACAGTACAGTATTCTCAAGAGGACAAACACTGCATCTTCTTGCTTGCTCTTCAGTACAGTACTACTCACTGAAGTTACAGAGGTGATGGCATAGATTCCTGCTATAACCTGTGAATCAGATTCACACAGATTCACAGGAACCAGTCCTTCCTGGCTGGTGCAAGCCAGGTAGGAAGTGCTGGGTTCAAAGTATGCCATAATTTTAAACATTCCCTTGTAGGAGGATGGCAAGTTATGGTTTCAATGGCCCTTAAAGAAACTGTGAGATCACTTCCAGGAAACAACTCTCAACAGAGACAGTCTGACTAACTAGTGATTGACATCCTGTGACTTATCCCATGATACCAAGAAGACTGTGGTATGACAAGATGATTTCTCAGGTTTCTTCGAATCTAGTCAGATTGGGTTATACATTTGGATGCAGAACTGAAATTGTATGGCTCATATCATTAGATCTCCATCTAGCCATAGATAAAGATTATTTTTTTAAAGGTTTCAGCCACATTTGACAGTAAGCAGAAGTTCGTTAACTTATTTCAAATCCTAACTATTTCATTCCTGTCTCAAGAAAACCCAAAGGGTAGTTCTAAGAAATTCTTTTCTCCTAAAAGGATCTCTCCCAAATGATACCACAAACATCTATGCTGTCACATGTTCACTGATTGTATGAAGTCCTGAAAGGGCTACATTAGGGAGGAAAGGCTGTGATGCTTTCAGTAACCTAATGACACTATAGTACATGTCCCTGCCTTTATCGTATCAGACATGGCTTCAGTAGTGAATAACCCAGTGCCTGTATTAACTTTCTGATATGGATAGCGGGGGGTCGGGGAGTGGCTCAGTTGAGTGTGATTTTTACCAAATCCAAAAGAGATGATGTTTCTGGAGTGGGAGACCTGGAAGAGTTTATACAAAGTAAAGTATTTCAGCACTATTGACCGAAAGTGTGTGATTACTATTTGTAACACAATGCAGAACTGAGATGTGTTATTAAATCCCATCTTGGCTGCCAAAGTAGCAAGCTCTTTTTGTACCTGGGAAGAAAATGAATGTTTTTTGCCCAGTGCAGGCCTTTGCACAATTATCCATGCCTTTGTTAGACTGGATATCTTCTACCTGACACTATACCTTGAGAACATTACAACTAAAATTAACACTCAATGTCCCAGCCTTCTTAGTAGAGCTGTCAGGCTATTTATTTATTTATTTGACTTCTATGCCACCCTTCCCAGAAGACTCAGGGCACTTACAATAAAAAGCAAGATAAAGGATACAAACAGATAAAATAGTAAAATAGAATAATAAAAGTGATAAGCAAACCACAAATTCCCCAAACAGTACACCAAAATGTAACTACAAGTGTTCGGAATACTGTATTTACCCAAATCCAAAACAACTTTGAATTTAAGATGACCATCCCTCCCAATAATTAAACACTATACATGGAAAATTATAATATTGAAGGGTCATCTTAAATTTGTCCCCTTTACCACCAAGGCAGGGAAAGCTGTAGCAAGGGGGCAGACAGTAAGGAGGCAAATGGCAGGTAGCCTGCCCTCTGTCCCTTGCCTCCCTTCCTTTTCCTTGGCTACTTGGTTCCCTCATTCCCCTGCCAATTGTTAGTATGCCACTACTAACCTATGCAGTGGCTCTGACTCTAGCTCTGGCCCTGGCCAAGCAGTGGCAGCAACTCCAGCCCCAGCCCCAGCCCCAGCCAGGCAGCAGTTCCAGCCCTGGGCCAAGGCAGGCAGCAGCTGTGGCTCCAGCTTCCACCCTGGGCCTGGGTTGGAGCCAGAACTGCAGCTACTGCCTCCCTGTCCCATGCCAGTACTTGAATCCAAGATGAGACTCCCCTCCATGTTAAATTAGGGAAAAAAACCTTGTCTTAGATTCAAGTAAATATGGTATTTAAAAGCCTGATAACCAGGAAACTTGATCCCCATTGACTTAAAGATGAAGACTTGCTCAGCTTTTTCAAAACATTCTATAAAACATTGACATTATGCTAACCTAGGTTCATTATACTGTTACTGCATCCTCCAAAACAGCCGTCTCTATTTCATCCATCTATTGCACCTTATTTGACACCTAAATATTAAATTGTCTAAAGCAGGGACTGTCCCCTGTTCCCCTGTGTTACTTGTTTTTCTGTGCCTAGGACAAATGAATATAGCCAGATATATAATGGATATGGATTTGCTTACTGTAAATTAATAAAGGTTCAACAACACATTAAAGAGAGTTTATCACAATCCTTAATCAAGATGGGGAGACTTCATCACAATCCTTGTATATGTTAGATTAATAAATGATCTCCGACTACATCAATATTTATTCTACTACTTAGGTTATTCTTGATAGTTTTCCATCACGTATATATATCAATAGTGTTAGAAAGCTAGTTGATTTTTTTTTTTTTAACTAAAACTCACATATATATTGTAAGATACAATGCTGTTCTCATTCAGGTTTCTTTTTTTTAAGTGTCAGAACCTTTGACTTTCAGCTGTTCACAGACATGTTATGGATGCACAGTCTATATTACCTACTGCAGTCAACTATTCTGTACGATCTAAGAGTGCACATCAATCTAACTAGTTATCAAAATGACTGTCCTTGAAGTGAAAAGGATGGTAGAACTGTTTCATGTTCACAATTATTAGGAATTAATGAGACTACCTTTTCTAATATTCCTTTTATTTCGGTGAGCGAAAAATGAAATTAAACCAAAAAGAGATGCTAACAAATTAATAATCCTTACTTGTGGAAAAGGACCTTGTAGTCTGCTCCTTCTAAATGAGACGGGCTACATAATTTAAAGTAATACTACAGCAAATTGATTCATTGTGGGGGAAAGTATTATGGGGAAAAAAATTCAGTGATTTATGCATAGCAAAGAGCATGAAGAAAAACCTCACCTGATGACAGGTGCTTTTTCTCTACATCTTATTGAAAAAAAAAGTGTTGAAATTGTCCAGCCTAGGGAAAAACCTAATTAAAGTCAAAGCAGGAAACAACACAGCAGCAGAAAATAAGAAAAATCCTAAATCTTGAAAGCAGCCTGAGAAAAGTCAGGCAACTCACTGATCTTTTTTAAAGGTGGTATGACTTGTCAAGCATACAGAATGTCCTATACTTTGGGAACTACAGTGAGGTAACTTGGAGTGGAGGCAACACACCTGATTTTGTACTTTATGACAAATTAATAGAATTTAAAACTCGTATCAGAACCAAAGAGGAATGTGTTTCTATGGCTATAAACAAACAGTTGTATTTGTTGTGGGACCGGTTGTGCTGCAACTTGTCCTACAACTGAGAAGTTGCAGGACTAGCGTTTCCCCACATTGCCCTTCAAAGCAGGTTTGAAGAGTAGCTGAATGTACGGATGCTCTTCCACCAGCAGATGGCCTGAGACAGCACACAAGCCAGCGTTCCTGGAGTTGGCTACGTTTCTACAGGTTTTGCTGATTCTGCCAGTGCTAGGTAAAGCAGCCACTAGTTCAAATTATGGGTGAGTAGTAAAATTTGTGTGGGAGGGATCTTGGTGCGATTCAACAGGTAGCTCAGGCCCCTTGCTGCCTGCCCCTTTCCGCTCCCAGTCACCACTGATCATGACTTGGCATGTGACCACTCTTGGCTGCTGATACATGGCTGTCTTGCAGACCTTGCTGGCCCAGCATTGTGAATTCGTGAAGGAGATTGAACAGAAAAGGTCTTCTGACCAAGCCCTGATGAACACCATGCCTACTTTCATGTCACCAAGAACAATGGAGCAGTATTTACGGGGGAAAACCTCATGTGTGTCCTCGTTGCCAGACAATGGAGGGTCTGTGGCTACACCCAGACCCTATTCCGTGACAACAGCCACTGCCATGAGGATCTTTTGGCTGCAGGTCAGCACATCATGGTCCAAGCAGACATGGGACTGACTCAAAACTGTGGACTGTCAATTCTGGCTGGGGAGACCAGCAGTGACAGGTGGAAGTGGATAGTCATGTCCACTTGTGACAACGCAATGGCATATGGACTTCCATATGTTCGGGGCACCTTCACAGAGATCTGCACTGAGGTTTTTTCCAAGGGCATAAAATGGACCAAAAAATATGATAGAAAACTGATTCAATAAAGAGCACTATTAGATGAGTATATCGTATTTATTAACCAACTAATAAGGACAGACCTATTTACATATAATAAAATAACCTACATTATTTAAAACTATGTTTTACCTATTTAAACTATTTAAAACTATGCTTTGGTACAGCATTTAGTACACCTATATTTTGTATTGGGTGTGCAGACAACCCAGTGTCTCCATATACACTGTCCAAGCATTTACACCCTGGAGAGATCACTTCAGCTTCACAGAGAAGCAGGCTCCATCACTGCACCAGACAAAAATAAAAAGAGAAAATCAATACTCTGCATTTCAACATGAAATGTCAAGACCATGTGTCCTCGCCTGACTGACAATCTTGTGAATATCTCTGATGCTCGTAAGACAGCTGTGATATGGAATTAAATAGGTTGAACATTGGCTTTGCAGCACTGCAAGAAATACACCTGGCCTCAGATGACTCCTTAAAAGAAACATACTACACATTCTTCTGGCAATGGAAAGTTCCCCAAGATGTACATGAACATGGCATAGGCTTTGCTGCTAGTAACAATCTTCTCAAAGTGATCAAGAATCCATTGAATAGTTCTGAGATGATCCTGGCACAGTTATCTTAGTGGGTGCCTATGCTCCAACACTTTACTCTGAGGTTAAAGACAAGTTTTATGAAGAAGTGGCTAGCATTACTGGCAAGGTTCCAAACACTGAAACCTTATGTCTCCTAAGGGACTTCAGTGCCAGAGTTAGTGCTGACACCAAATCCTGGGCAATTTGCCTGGGCTCACATAACATGGGAAGCATGAATGGTAATGGACAAAGGTGGTTGGAGTTCTGCTTCTATCATAGCTTGTGCCAACTCATTCTTTCAAACAAAGCCATGCCATAAGGTATGGAGGCACCCAAGGTCTGGCCACTGGCACCAGCTGGACCTCATCATCACTAGGCAGTCCAATCTCAATAATGTCCTCCTTACTTGTAGCTACCATAGCGTTGGTTGTGAGACTGATCACTCACTTTTCTGGTCACTAAGATTAAACAGAAGCCAAATAAAATCTTCTGCTCTAAGTATTAACATTACCAACACATCTGATCATCAGAAAACCTGGCAGTTTACAGAGGTTCTGGAGGAGGCTGCTTCAGAGCTGCTTTTGTGTGAGACTGCAAGAGAGAAATGGGGAAGTCTAAAAAAAAAATGATGCGTCACTGCTGACTCTATATTCAGCAAATGGGTTAGAAGAAACCAGGATTGGTTCAAAACACGTTCACATGCACTGATTCCATTTATCAAGGCCAGACAAATTGCTATGTTAAATCACAAGAAAAATGCCTCAGATGGAATTTTGAGGGGACTCAGGAAAACAAGGAGTGTTGTCCAACAAATCTGAAGATGTTGCACCAATGATTATTGGCTGCAGCTGTGCAAGGAAATTCAATGGGTATTTGACACTGGAAACAAAGGCATGTATGACAGAACCCAGAGGCATTAGGTCCAACTGCAAAGAAGTCAGTTCCATTAAAGACAACATCAGGAGAAGTCATAACAGACCAAAAGCAACAGATAGAAAGATGGCTAGAATGGTATCTTGAGCTCTATTCAAGGGAAAGCAATGTTACTGAACTTTATTGAGAGTCTGTCTTTGAAGAGCCTGATGATATTCCAACCTAAGCAGGCCACAGACAAATCTGGCCATTGCCAAGGCCCCAGGAAGAGATGGCATTCTTGCAGAAGTGATCAAGTGCAGGAAACCTGCGCTTTCCCCTCACCTATAACAAGCTTCTTATTCACTGCTGGACAGTAGGGAATAAGATCCTTGCTGACTGTGTTTACCCTGAGTCACTGTATGGCTTCAGCACTTGTAGGCCCACCATAAATATGCTCTTTTCACTCCAACAAATCCGAAAAAAAGTGTCAGGAAGAGAGAGACCCCTCTATACTGCCTTCATTGACCTGACCAAGGCCTTCACCCTTGTCAACAGAGAAGGCCTCTTAGAATCACAGAAAATTAAGAGTTGGAAGAGACCTCAGGAGGTCATCTAGTCCAAACCCCTCCTCAAAGCAGGACCATCCCCAACTAGATCACTCCAGCCAGCTCTTTGCCTATTTGGGCCTTAAAAATCTCTAAAGATGGAGTAAGTAACTTGTTCCTATGCTTCACAACGTGCCTAGTGAGAAAGTTGTTTCTAATCCAAACTAAACCTCCTTTGCTGCAACTTGAGACCATTGCTCCTTTTTCTGTCAAAAAGCTGCCTCCAGAAATAATAGAACTATCCATCCTATGCAGGACTTGAACCTGCAACGCCTGGTGAAAGTACCTTGTCCATGAGGCCACTCAGACTACTCTTGATGTTATGGAAAAAGATTGGCTGTCCAACAAAACTCCTCAGCAAAATCCACTCTCTTTCCATAATGGAATGTAGGGAACAGTCAGCTACAATGAATCATCTGCAGCTTTTAAAATTCAAAGAGGAGTCATGCAGTGTAGTACCCTTGGCCCAACACTATTTGGAATTTTCTTTTCTCTTTTTCTGACATATACTTTGGGGATTACCAGTAAAATAATTTATTTCCATACATGCTCAGATGGAAAATTAGTCAATCTCACATGACTTAAAGACTAAAAAATGTGGAAAGTGTTTTTATTTGTGAGCTGCTGTTTGCTGAAGACACTGCACTGATAGCCCACACAAGAGTGACCTTCAAAGCCTCATCGATCACTTTGCTCATGCCTGCCAAGAGTTTGGTTTTATAGTCAGCATCAAGACCACCAAAGTTGTTGGCCAGAACACTGATTTACCACCAGCAATCACAACAGGTGAAAATTTATTGGATGTTATAAATAAATTGACATCCTTTGGCTCCACTGTTACCAACAACCTGTCACTTGAAGCTGGACTGAACACCCATATTGGCAAATGTGGTAGCATGCTGAGCAAATGTGTGTGAAAGAACAAGAAACTAAGACCAAGGTCAAAGTATATCATTCTTGCATCATCAACGCCCTTTTGTATGTCAGCGAATCCTGGACCACATGCTTCACTCAAGAAAAGCATGTTAACAGCTTCTACTTACATTGTCTTTGCTGCATTCTAGGAATTTCCTGGTAGGACAAAGTTGCCAACGCTGGGATCTTGGAATGTGCCAACATTGCAAGCATCCATTCTCTTCTCAGTCAGCATCGACTTTGATGGCAGAGAATGAACAGTGGTCATATACCCAAGGTCTCTTGTATGGGGTTCTCTTCACAGGAAAACAATCCTGTGGGCGTTCTTGTCTCTATTTCAAAGACATTTGCAAGAGAGATATTCAGGCAATGAACATTGAGCCAAATGACTGGGAGAAGATTGCAGTGGATCAAAATGCTTGGAAATAATCTATTAAGCGTGGAATGAAGGCATTTCAGGACAGAAGAGCACAATATTGCAGAGGAAAGCAGAAACCTCAGGAAGGACTCCACACCACATTCATAACTGATACAATCTTCACACGTGATAAGTACAGAAAGGACTGTTATTCAAGAATTGGACTCTACAGCCATATTTGCAGGTACTTGATGATGTGATACTTCACTCAGCACAAATCTCTTGTCTCATGAGACAGACAGATGGCTATGCTCCTGCAGTAAACCTTCCTGCTAGAGTACAGAGAATTAAGCTAACCTCAACCATTGTAACTTGTGTGCAAACAGACTGTTCTTGGGTACCACTCTCCATCAAGCCACAGTCCTGCACAGGTGCAGTCAAACACACAGCATACAAAGGACCTGATCTATTTCCCATGGGAGTCAATGAGTGGCTATTAAGTTCAAAAGTAATTGCAAGCACACGAGTAGTAATGTTAACCAGATAACTAACCTTTGTTAGTTCTCCTGGACCCGATATACCCACCCACATTTTTTAGTTTTGAGAATTTTATTATGTTGTTAAATTTTGTTAATGTTTTCCTAGGGAAGGATTAGACTATTATAGGACTTTTACAAGGAGTTATCTTCTAAGGAGGGTCTTTCTCAAGGACAAAAGAATGGAGGTGTCCGGGAGTGGCCCAGGAAAGGGACACAAGGAAAAATGCAGCACAGTAGAAAGCAAAGGGATGAAAGGGGAAGAAAAGTCTATGAAGTTCATGGAAAGTCAACTGTTAGCATGGAAAAGATCTGCTCCTAATGAGGAAGATCTCCCGCAATTAGTTGTTGTTTCCTTTTTAAAATCTGGGTACTATTGCCCCCTCAGGTCACTTTGAAACTATGCAAGAGTAATGTTGAGAATAGTCCTCTCTCCTTTGAGTCTATTAAACCCATGAAAAGCACAGCATTGTAATATAATTTGGTATGCGCTGTCCTGCTTTATCAGCCTTTTCCAAAATGCTATTTTAAAAAAGAGTGAAATTGGAGCACTGGCTTGACATTCAAGTGCCTTAAATCCTCTTTTCCTGAGAACACTAGATGATGTCTTTGACTGTCAGGTTCACATTCTAAACTTGGACACAGGCAGAGGAAAAAAAAAAAAAAAAAAAATCGGGGGTGGGGGCTGAGCATGTGTGTTATTTACCCTAGCAGGTAAGTCTGTGGAAAAGGGGAAAGGGCCACGTGGGGGCAGGACGTGGGACGGAGCTGCAAGGGCTGGCAGGGGTGGAGCAGGGAAGCATGCCCTTGCCCTAATGCTGGGGCCAGCGGCATTCCAGACTCGGTTCCTCCGCTTCCCCCATGTCCCACTGGCAGGAGCTAGGTAGAGCCAAGGCAGCAGCCAAGTCCACCCTCCCACCTGCCCAGCTCCACTCGCCCTGGCCCCGCATGCAGGGCTGCCCTGTGGACAAGCAAGCTGCTTGTTCTGCTCACCTTTGCACTGGCAGTGGGTCTGAGCTGCTGGACCTGGAGGCAGGTACCATGCGTGTCTCAATGAGTGCTCAACTCAGCAGGGTTTGGCAGGTGGCCAGTCAGCTCTGTTGGTTGTAATAATGCTAAGGTTACAGGTTCGTTCCCTGTACAGGCCACTGAACTTGTTGTCCCCCCACCTTTTCTTTCATGTGTAACAACTGCCTCACCCTACAGCTCCTATCTTTAGGAAGGAAGGAGGTGCAGCAGAGACTGCCCAAGTGGCTCCACTTCGGGAATGGCTCCTGTCCAGGAGGTGAGGGCAGCACACAAGACGGTGCTTTGCCCATGGCAGCAGGAGTTTTAGCAGTGGAAACACCTCCTGTCGGGGCAGAGGAAAGGGCAGAGCAGGGCATGAAACAACCGAGTGTGGGCGCTTCCACTACGTATCCCTTCCTCTCCTGCCCCCGCCCCTTCTACATGTAGCAGAAGCCATGACCACTGAGAAGAGACGCTCGTGGCTCAGTTCCCCACCCCACCAGCTCTGCAGCGCCCGCCCCTCCCTTGGCCCCAGCTCCAGCCCTACTCCCTCCCTCGCTGCTGCACCCACTCTCTTTCCGATCCCTGCTGCAGCTGCTGAGAGCTCACAGCTGGGCTGCCCGGTGGCCCTACCGCTGCCCTGCACTTGGGGGAGCTAAGCCCCATTAGCCCCCCACCCTTCTGCCACCTATGAGCTTGGAGCTCCCAAACTACAGTAGCTATTCCATTTGGTCCAGCAAGACTGAGTGGGTGGAATCCAAGAATGTCTAATTGGCCTAAAAAGCAGAAACAATTACAGGATTCATAATGCTACCTGCAGTTTTCATTGGCATCACCACAGCAAACACTGTCATCAGAAGAAATGACTTCAGAGAAAAGTGGAAGCCACAAATCATTTTATCAGCTTGATTCCAGCATTGAATTCATCTCAAGAAAATTATCTGATCCCAGAGTTAGAATGAATTACAGAAAGCCTTAAAAATTCACACTTAATTAATAGGCATTTTAACAATAGGGAATATTGCTATTAGAGGTGCATCTCCCAGATTGCTATTCTCACTCCACTTACGTTAAATTGGGCTCATTTAGTAACACGATGCAGGGTTTCCCCAGGTAATGTGCAGTCTGGGATATCACAATGATGCAATTTCCCAGATAATTTAGTGAGACATTGGTCTCAGTCAAAATTCTCAAAGTCAAGAGACATGGAGAACTGACCAACTGCCATCTCTGAAAGGCCTAAAAATAGAGGACAGAGTCAATTGGTAGGAATGTCCGTAAATCGTGCCAAAAGCGCGCCCCACAGTGGCTTCTATAATGCTTTTCGTTTTGCCACTTGCCCCCCTGCCCCCTCCCCAACCTGATTGGCAGAAGTTTAAAATATGCCATGGTTTTCACTTCACCAGTGATCAGCAACAAACAACCCAGCTACTGGAGCCCCTCCACCAACTCCACCGGGTGGAGGGGGAGTAGGGGGAAGGGAAGCCAGCGGCGAAATGAAAAATATTCAAGTTGCTGCTGGGGGGGGGGGGGGCATTTGGGCCTGACCCCGGGCAAC